ACCTTGTAGGTGTAGGTTGCATTCGCCGGTGCAGTTGAAGCTGTTTTATTGTCCTTTGGGGTAACATTGTGCCAATATGCAGCTTCGAAACTGAACACCGTGTTCGCCACAATGCACTTTATTGTACGATGGGATCTCTCAACTATCCCATTCCTCGATGGTACATGGGCACAGTGAAATTGTATTTGTACATTCCACATCTTTGCAAACGCGGCAAACCTCTCTCCACAAAACGCTGCACCATTATCCGTAAGCAGCTCAACTGGCGACCCTCTTTCAGAAAACACTACTTCCAACTCCTTGATGATGCTAGCAGAGTCTTGGTGGTGCAAAGGCTTCCAAATGACAAAACGACTAGGGCCGCAGTCTATCAGTGTCAGGTATAGTTGATGTCCGAAATGGGTTACATCCATTGCAACCCTGTGCCAATTTTCTGCGACATCAAACCAGCCCGGTTTCCAACGCACAGGGGCTGAGTTGATTGACTGGCATTCCTTGCATCCCCTAACCACTACTGGCACCTCAGCTTTTGTTACTCTTGGGTCGATCAACTCCACAAAATAGAGTGTTCTCTTCACACCAGGATGTCCGCTGGATTGATGAATGGCTCATACATGAGCAACATCTACGCTCTTCAGCCACAGCGCACAGAGGTTCTCTGGTTCTGTTATTTCGCGCATTTCATTTAACCATTGCTGCGGTACTCTAGTAAGTTGGTTGGCTCGATTGTTGCACGGCTTGACAAGCTCTACATCAATGTCCAACTCAGATTCTAAGGCCAACTCTTGGGTGTGGCTAAATGACGCCTGATTAGCATCTCGGAGGCTGCCTTTGGTGCGCCTCTCGCCTGTCCGGACAGAGTGTCAGCTACCCAGTGATGCACACATGCTGAGTCTGTCTGTAAATGAATGGTTTTAGCCTTCCATTGTAATGCAAGGTTGTCACCTCGCAACACAGCATCGAGCTCAGCCAAGTTGATGTGCTTGTCTTCGTGCACCAGTTGGAGCCAGCTTGCGTCTTCTGCCACAGTGCCATTTCTCTCCACAACCACACCGGTGGCTAAGGAGCTTGCATCTACCCACACGGTTAGATTTTGCTCACTGATGCACCAGTCACCTTTCACTGGATCGTCCTGGGCTAGTCTCTTAATGTCATCGATCATCTGGGCTAGAAAAGGGTCCTGCACTTCATCGTCCCATCCAGTGGTAATGATGTTTGCCCTCCGCTTCACAAATGCTGTGGCAACACGTGAACCAACCGCATACAGGAAAATGGCCATTCAACTTTCCAGACAGCAAGAAGACAATCCCGGTGGGTAAGTTTATTGGGACTACGGGAAGTTCACATCCATGACGTCATCGCAGTTTTCCTTGCTCCTCCCAAACATGCAATTCCAATACGCGTGTGCCAATTCTTAGCCGCTCCAGAGTCTTACTTGACAGACCAAACTGCTTCAAATGTTCCTTGACACAGACCACAGGACACGCACTCTCATTACCAAAAACGTCATCAATATAAAAGGAGGAGGCTGTGTTGACTCAAGACGGTAGGGCCGCGTGATTAAAGGGGCAACATTGAGCCCAAATCCTAAGCGGGTTAGACAATACCTTTGTCCCTTAATCTCTACTGTTTGAATGGCCAAAGGGACTTGTCGATGCAAACCTGCAGATAGGCCCGGCGAGGTCAACACTGCAGCTTTTTGGTCCTTGCTGGCGCCATTCCGTAATTTTGCAAACAAACATCTGCGTTGGTCGATATGCTGGCGTCAATGTATTCATTGAGTTCCGATAGTCCATAACGGGGCGAACCTTCTGTTTGTTTTCCTGCAGAATGGCCAAGTGGGGGATTAAACCTTTTGGGGTCCGAAGTTCCTCCTCTGGGGGAAGCAGCCAGCTGTTATCTATCCAAATCTGGAGTTCCTGATCATTCCTCCCGAATTTAAAGCGGGAACTGAATATTCTGCCAGTCTATTTCTTTAACGTGCCGGAGGTTGGTTGCCAGCCCATTTCCAAGATGCAGTCCACTGCCTCCGGTGGTCATCAATTCTACTTTAAAAGTCGGGTTTCGTAATGGTGATGGGTGACTGGTTCGACACGCTGCGGAACTTCACCTCACGGTGCCATGATATTCCTCCCAACTGTTTGATGGCGTCAGTCTGGCAGCAAGTCAAATCCAAGCAGGTCTCCGTCCATGACTAGGGCTTCCATAGCGATGGACGGCTTTGCATCAACACTAACTTGTACCACTCTGATTCCACAGCAGTCAAGTGCGCCTCCGTCTACTGTAAGCACGCCTGTTGATTTTCTTGTCCATGCTCGCCAGCATGACTTGCAGACTAGTGACTGTGTGCATCCTGTATCCACCAGAGCTATACGTCGTATTCCATTGATGCAAACTGTCACTACAGGCAATGCACCATTTATAAGGGTTTTGGGGAGGAGATTGGCACTGAATTCTTGCCCCCCTTGCCTGTTTCCTGGACAACACCGAGCAATATGCCCTTGCCGATGACATCGATAGCAAGTGATGGTCCGTCAGTGTTTGGTACCAGCACCTTTGGATGGTTCACGACCCAGGAGACAATCGCTCACCCTATGATTGGGTCCATCACATTTATAGCACCTTGTGTACACATCTGTTTCCTTCAACTGTGCAGCCACTGCGGCCTGCTCCATAGAACCAGTACTTCTTAAAATAGCGGAGCTCGTAGCCTTATGTGACAAATCCAGGTCTTCCATTTGGGATGACGCCTTAAAAGCCCCTCTACATGCTCAGGCAATCCAGCAACGAATGCACACTGCAAACACTTTTCTGATACACTACCAAACAGAACCACGAGTCTGTGCAGTTCTGCCAAAAAGACGTCGACCGTCTCCCCTGGCTGAAGGCAATGTAGTGCAAACTGCTTCCACGCTGGAGAAGGGATCTAAGGCAAAAGCCGTGTATAACGTAACGCGAATTGACGTCTGACGCTCCTCTTCAATTGTTGGTACACAGCATATGTGCCACCTGCCAAATGCATCGGAATAACACACTCAATTCGCTTCACATTGCTCAACTGACATATTAGTTCCACCTTCTCCAACCATTTGACTACTGACTGTCCAGAATCGCTTCCGTCGAACAGTGGTATCAGCTTCGGGTCGAAGGCCATAATGTCAAAATAGCTTGTGCGAGAAAACGGGGGGGGGGGGCTTGTTAACAACTTCTTGCGAACCTGAAACAAACGCCTTTTCTTCCGAACGAACACTTTATGACAGCAAACGAGCAAAACGGCACCCAAGACTGCTGCCAACGGACGACCGACCGCAAAGGCTTTTGTCGCCCAAGAAAAGATGCCAAACGACTTGCGTGTCTTCATCTTGTAGTCCTCGGTCAAGTCCATTATGGTATTCCAAGTGTGTCCAGCGACAACACACACGCAGTTCGAGGATGCTTCCGCGCATGCTCGTTACAGAATGCGTCTAGAAAAAAAAAAAAAAAAGAAAGAAGAATGTTATTTTAAAGTTTACAGGCTAATAATGAGACCTGTATCTCTAGCTTTTTTAAGTAGGAAAAAAGTATGAAATATATGAAAACTTATTTGGTTTTAAAAGTTGAATCTGATAACCCTGTCCTTTTTTTTTACTTTTATATTTCTGTTATAGATAGCTAGAAAATATACCAACATGTGAATGACTCCTAATGTCACCAGCTATCTACTGTCCTCCTGATTGCTCTTTTCTCTTTCTCCTCAGTAATGTTTGTTCTGAATTCCTCCACACCCTGTAACCCCTTGCATGCTAGTGGCTATACTGTCTTGCTTGGGGTGATACCAATAAAAAATAAAAAAAAATGTTGTAATCAAATCAATCAAAAAACAAAAAAAAAAAAACTAACGAAAAATGCCCCCAGACCAAGTCCTTCTCTTTTGTGCTATAAAACGTGAATGACGTTTTATTTCCAATGAAACTGCAGATTTTTGTTTCAAAAGACATTGAACCATTTCTGATAAAATATCAGAGCAATAAACCACTGTTCATAGTTGATATTATTATTAATGCTTCCATTATTTTTAACTTGTTTTGTTTTGTTTATTTTGTTTTTGTGTTTGTGAATGAGGTTATTATGGTCATATTTTCCACTAGTGTGTTGCGGACAGTTTGGTAGTTTTCCATGTGTTTTTAAATGTTTCCTAATTGAGCTATGATGTAATATGAACCTTCTTGGTAAGCATGTAAGTGGTATGTCCAATATAATTATTCATGAATCTGTGAAGATCAGGAATGCAGTTTTTTAAAATTTGTAAATAATAATGGTCTTCCAAATTACAGAGGACCAATATTTAAATTCAATGAAAAGCTTAATCGCTGTACCTTGTCAGTTTTTAGTATATATATCATAAAAACCCTATCACATGCTATTTAGCTGTTAGGTTTTATGGGGCTACTATTACTATCTTTATAACCAACACTACAATAGAAAAGAAAATCTTATTTCAAATAGCATTTTAGAGATAGGTAAAAAAAACACAAAACTACGAACATTAATTGCAAAAATGATTACAAATTAGTGATTATTACAAATCAGTATTTAAAGAAAACATGATTAAACATAAGGACACATACTGTATTTTTTAACAATATTCAATGTATATGAAACTATTTTGAATATCTGATAAAGATTTTAAATTGATAATGTCACAACATGTGACATGATAAAATTAAAGGTATAATGCTAAAACAGGTCAAGATGAGATACAGGAGAAGTTAAAAACTTGACATTAAAGCTGGCCAAACTGGCTGTAAGTTCTTCGGAAAATAATATCAGGATATAACCATATAGTCTTGTACTATTGGTAAAAACATAAGAAAATAAGATTAAATGAGAACCAACTCAAAAGAAATATTTGCATAGTCTTTAATCAAATATGCAAAAAAAAAACAAATTGGTGTATATATGTAGATAGAATTTAACCACTATCTTTAATAAATACTTGTTAAAATATGTTTGTTTTCTAGAAAAGATCTACAAATAAATCCTCCATAGTAGTTCCTGATGCAGGGGATGTCAGTCAAAACTGGGAATCTTATGATGATTGGAACAACCAGACTGTAAACCCCAATGAAAATTGGGAGACAGGGGATGATTGGAATACTGATCAAATGTATGATAAGAATGAAACATTCCCTCCAGTGGATCTATCCTCCAAATTACAAAACAATGTTAAACTACCCATTGATGATCTTCGGATTGCTATCTTAAATGGAGATCTGGAAACTACTCGGCAATACATAAACAGTGGTAAGTTGATAACTAAATTTTTCTGTATAGGTAAAAAATAAAATCATTTGTTCTATTAACCTTTTGTAAAGAATGAAAGTCATAAATCTCATTTTCTGCTGAGTAGTACATTGTAATTATTATGCAATAGTAATTATGCATCAGTTGTACAAAATCATTCTTCTTAGTGTGTCTACAAGTGCATACATTTTTATTCATTCTTAAAAAAATATACATTTCTTTAAAAACAAAGAAAACAATGCTTTTCTCTCTCTTCATTTATCAGTCAAAAAAAGTAATTCTCTAAAAACTCTGTATATATAATTTATAATTTTTCTTTTCACATGAATTTCTGAATTGTATTTGGATTAGTTTTCCTGATATAGAGATTTTTTCTCTTAAAATAATTATTTTGGAATTATATATATATATATATATATATATATATATATATATATATATATATATATATATTTGTAAGCAAATATATGGATATAAATCCGACAGTATGAAAGAAAAATACAGAAAAACAAAAATTCTGAATATGCATTATTAATGTTAAAAAAAAAAGTCGACGTCGGGCGTTTCGGTCTATTTAAGACCATCTTCATGGACATTTTCATTTAAACATAATTAACATTATAACTTATAACAATTTAACACAAAAGACGATGGACATAAGAGCCCAACTAATTCAAAAACAGATAACTGAAATTTTATACAGATCAGCGTTCTGTTTAAATATGATCACGTAGTCGTCTAAGTGCATGATGTTGTTAAGGCGTATTCGAAGATGATTTCAAAAATTAAAATATCAAAAAGTCGATTGAAAAATTTTTATAAAAGTTAAAGAAATCTCTTCCGTTGGACGAGAATAATAGATCAAGTAAGGAATGGAATTTTTTATCGAACTGTTTTTTAGAACTGTTGCATCGTTTTTGAAATCATTTTGGATTTGCATTGTAACGGGAAGGACTTTCAAGCTTGTTGAAGATATAAGAACCAATTGTTTCACTCGTATTCCAACATCAACGGAAGAGATTTCTTTTTTTTTTTATAAAAATTTTTCAATCGACTTTTTTGATATTTTAATTTTGGAAATCATCTTCGAATACGTCTTAACAACATCGTTTACGAGACGACTACGTGATCATATTTAAACAGAACGCTGATCTGTATAAAATTTCAGTTATCTGTTTGAATTAGTTGGGCTCTTATGTCCATCGTCTTTTGTGTTAAATTGTTATAAGTTATAATGTTAATTATGTTTAAATGAAAATGTCATGAAGATGGTCTTAAATAGACCGAAACGTCCGACGTCGACTTTATTTTAACATTAATAATGCATATTCAGAATTTTGTTTTTTTCTGTATTTTTTTTTACATATATATATATATATATATATATATATATATATATATATATAAATTCTGGGCAGTTTATTGCTTTCATAAAACTTGGATGATGTTTTAGTTGAGGTACTGACATCTACTCAATTTTTTATGAGCCTTTGGAAACTGATTAATTTTATCAGTTTTGTTGTTTGACTGAATTGGATTTCATAATCAAGATTGTTTATAAATCTTACATTTCTCATTGTTGTTTGCACCTTTATTATAAATCCCAAAATCTTTTAAGTGTTAGATTTCATTAGGTTTTTATTAATGGCTCTGAAATCTTTAAAGTTTCCCAGTTTCAATCATATCCTTCCAAATATGTTTCATTTAAATTTTTATATAGTTCTATATAGTTTTGTTTGACTTTTTCCACAGAAGAAAAATTCTGATACAAGACCTATTTATAATAACTGAGCGTTTAAATTCACTTTTTGTCAAGACAAAGTTTACATGAAATTACTCTGACTGCCAGATGTGTCTCTCTGGTAAACATGGATTCCACTTGGGATTTTCCTCTGTTATTTTGTTATATATATAATAAAACCCATGTTATATCTTCATGACTGAGATTTATGATCTGTTTCTTTGGGTTTATGAAGTCATTTTATCATAAGAGAAAACAAAGTAACAAAATATCAAAACTTTATGTAACTTGTAATTCCATCAAAAAACTTAAAGATGGTAAAAATAATCAACATAATCAAATTATATAGGAATCATGGTTCAGAAGTGTTATAATTTCCTTCACTTTGTTCATATGACAATCATTAAGATAGGAATCATGTGTGCTAAAAAGCTGGTGTTTGTCTGCATCATTTAAAGTTTACAAAATATATATATATATTTTTTTTTTTCTGTTCATAAGTTATTGTTATGAATTATGTAATTTATAAATCATAAATTCTTTAAAGATTTTTTATTTGTTCACTTTTGACCAGGTGTTGATGTTGATATTATTCTAAAATCTAACTGGACCCCTTTGATGTATGCTTCAAATGCTGGACATCCAGAAATTGTTGAGTATTTGTTAGAGAGAGGAGCTAATGTAAATTATAATAAAGGTAAGTGCAATATTGTTGAATTGTTATCTTATCACTAATTATGAATAATTTTGTAGGAATTTCGGTTTGCAAAATAACTGAATTCACATCAAAATCTTTTATGTTACAGACATTAACATATCTGTAACATGAAAGATTTTGGTGTGAATTCTAATTTAATATGAAACTAATTTGTTGCCATTATTTTGACCCCAATAGAAAAATCCTATTATAATTGTGCCTCTCTTCATTCATTAGCACAATTGTTTAGTCCTCTTAATACCTCATAAAACTACACTTTTATCTCAACCAAAAGGCCAAGAAGTGGTATTCGCCTCTCCCCACACCCCACCTCCTCCCATTGAGGTTAGGATGTGACACATGGTCAACTTTTTTAATGTAATGGAACCTTAGTGGAAACACTTGGGCCATGGTCAAAATTTACCCAGCCACTGCTTGCATGGGTTCAGGCACAAAGCATTGCCGCTTAATAAAGGTCAAGAAGCAATGACAACCGATAAAAGCATCATTTTTTGGATGCACTTTTATCAAATGACAGAAACCAAGTAAGGTAATCGCCAAAAATCTAATTACCATACATTGAATAAAATAACATCATCTGCTGAATTATTTTAAAATTGTTATTAAGAGAAATGTTCAGAAGATGAGGATTTGACTAGAAAGAAAAAAATAAGGGAAGATATGTTTAATGTCTCCTGTCAATACCTTATAAATAATGGACTATTCTGTTGGAAAGAGAGGTGGGAGGAAGACACTACTCTGATTTGAGCTGTAAAATGAACAAAAGAAATAAAGGAACATAGAAGTATTTAACAGTTGTTTCAGTCAAATGGAGAAAGTTATCAATTTAAAATCTTTTTATTTCTACCCACTTCTTAAAATAACAACCAGCATTCATATTTATGATTGTTGTTGCAATACTTTGTTATTGTTAAGCTCAAATATTTAACAATGCAATAGGGGAATTTCTACGGATATTTTATTGTTGTAGAACTTGCCATGAGCTTAAGAGGTAAGAATTAAATTCCTCAGAAAATTTAACTGTAAAAACTGGGGGATTTTCACAGGTCTTTGTAGTGTTTGTAATTTTGAACAACATACAAAAATCTTACAGCCAAATTCCATTAAAGTCAGGGGTCACTTTTTTTCTTTTTCTTTTTTTTTTTTTTTTTTTTCTTTTTTTCTTTTTTTAATTCTGTTACTCCTCACTTTCAACAATCAATGTGTTTATTGTGTTTTGATATTTTAAAAAAGCCAGCTTGCTGTATAGGTATATTGTATAATTTCCCAATGCAAACAAGTCCATAAATGCAATGCTTATCGATGGAAATCAACTACCAAATATATACACAAATTAGAGCAAGGGCACACAGCATACCAGAGCATCTCTTAAGAATACTTATGGAATTCTAGATGAATAATTATTATTTTTTTTATGTTTGCACTTTGGCTGAGGTGATGTATGATATTTCTTTTCCTTCTATATGTTAGTAAGTGGCCACAGTCACTAATTTCTCTAATTTTAGAAGACTATAAATATTTATTAATCATCACTTTTATTCATTTTAATATTTGTTCAAAATATTTTGGGAGTGTATCTATGATTATTTTAGTTTTGATCAAATACACTTGCATGGTAAAAAAGACTTACATTTTATTTATTAGTAATTAGTGAAGACTTGCTTGCTTAAAATTGACCCCAGCTAAAGTTTTTATAATTTAAGTGATCTCAAATGATTAATTCTTTGTAATTTGGTTGTTTCAGCGGAAATGTTCACACCTTTGATGGCAGCATGTATGTCCAATAACAAAGAACACAATGTAGTGCAGTGTATTGTCCACTTAGTAAAGCATGGAGCTTCTGTTAATTCTATAGACAGGTGAAATCTTTTCCTTGTTTTACTTGTAGAAATATATTTGTCTATAAAAGGCAGTTCATGGAAAAAATTTTTTGCTTTACATTTTTCAACAGGAAATTAGGCTTGTTGTTGTGCGGCACATTTGATGGAATGTTCTAGAAAATCATATCCAGTCAGTTTTGTTTACTGAAAAACAAAAATTACTTTTTTTTTTTTTTTTTTCCTCATGTTTTGTGCTTCCTAAAAAAAGGAGATATTCACAATAAGCTTCAAAGTCAATCTAGTCATCTATTTATAACAATAATAAATAATATCCTGTTACTTTTTAATATTTTTTATATTGTATTATTTAAAACTGACTTTTTTTTTTTTTTAATTTGTGTGTGTGTGTGTGTGTGTATATATATATATATATATATATATATATATATATATATATATATATAGTCATCCACAGGCAGACTGATTCGCTGTATCACAGCTCATCAATGTGGCTAGACGTGTGATTGTTTCAAGCCAGAATTGAAACCCGACTGATTTAACATCAGTCGGAGACTATATATATATATATAAATAAAATCAAATTACTTACTTGCAAGAAAGGAATTATTTTAAAAACAGCATTTTTGTCTGTATTTTTGAGAGGGGATTATCATTATTATTATACATTTATTTATTTATTTTATTATTATCTTTTTATTTTTTTTGTGTTCTAATCCTTGTTGCTAATGTCATAATGTTTGTAGGTATGCTCCCAGAAGGTTACCAACTATTACAAGTACCCAAGAAGGCTAGAGTACAATGGCCAAATTGTTGTGACAATAACAACCAAAATTAGATTTGTACAAATAAGTTGGTGTGTAATAAAAAAAAATAACATTATTCAGAAAAATATAGATTTATGTTGCTTACTATTTTCTAAAGTAGAAGAGATGATAGAGGTTAAGCAATTAAAGCAATCATTATGAAGTTCTAATTCACTTCATCTTGTTGTTGATTGAATCTGTCATTCACTATGATGTGAACAGATTGAAATGAAAGAGTATTACTTCTACTACATATTCAAATAAGATAGAATTATTATTATTATTATTATTATTATGAAGTGAGCTGAAGAACATTAAAGTTTCTGCAATAGTTTGAATCAAGTTAGATATATGACACTACTGTGACATGTTCTTTAGGTTTTTATTGTTTGTATTCCATGTCAGAAATTGGTTGACATACAGGAATTGAACGATTTTATTTTAACTTTGTACATAACTTTATAAGGAAGAAAATTTTTTTTTTGTTATTTCATTATGTATTCCTTATCAGTTTTGTATGCAAGTTGATTAGTAAACCGTGACACTGTTGGATTTTTATCTAGAATTTTTACAATGGATTTTTTGATTGATGAAGAAACATTAAGGGCATTGACAAGTTAAGAGATTATTTGTTGTGCAAAATGAATGTGTTTGTTTTTTGGGTTTTTTTTTTTAATGAGTTTTTAAGAAAAATGTAATTAAAACATTTCCCCTTCTCCACCCACCTTCAAAATCTTTATCTTCTATTTGTTTCTGTATTTTGTAAATTTTTTGTTTCAGATTTCATTCAACTGCCTTAATGCATGCAGCTAACAGTGGACACCTGTTAGCCCTGCAGAAACTTTTGGAATATGAAGCTGACCCTAATCTTGTTGATACTCATGGATGGACTGTAGGTTTATATTTTCTGTTAAAATAGTAAACAAAATTTTATAATCATCTCAGTAGGTTGCAGAACATATTTAGTAGTTTATATGAAATTTCTATTAGTTTTTTTTTCTTTGTAGGTACCAGGGGAAATTTTATCAACAGTATATGCTGCTGGCTTCTTTCAAATATTAGGAGTGGCATAAGGCACCTTATTTGCTATGTATTTATCAACTCAAAAATGTGTAAATTATGTAATAGTAAGCAGAAAAAGAAATTAATTGGCAAAATTCAGATTGCATTTGCAACTGTTTATTTCACTTGGATATGTGGGTGGTGTAATAATGGCTTGAAATGAGAAATCAGAGAGCTGAGTTCCAATCGAGTTCATTATATTTACTTACATGCAAATATACCTTTGGGAAATCCATCCCCCACTCCTCCAAGCTATCGCTAAAATAGCAGGACAGACTGGTTTCTATATCCTTAGTTGGCAACCATTCTAGAGATGGTGTCTCAATAAAAACACCCATCCCCCAGCAGCCTGGGTCATTTGTGGAGATGTCTTCTGTTGTGTGAATAGCACATTCTTCTGCAAACAGAGAAAGCATTTCTCATCTCATCATGTCACATTTACATCATTAGAGAAGGCATGAACCCAATTCACTTTGTGCTCTTTTCTGTCATTAATTATTTTGTCTAGTTTCTTCACTGCTATATCGCAGCATTAGGCAAAAGAAAAAGACTTGATTATATGGGCAATTCACTCCTTTCTTTTCTATTTTTTTCATATAGTATAATAGCAATGGTACTTAACATTGTATGGGCCAAATCTCTTGCTGTTTTAGGCAATTGTTTCTCTTTTCAAGATATTTGCATATGCAATAAAATAGTATTAGTGAAAATTGTTGTAATTAAAGCAGTTTTGATAGGCTGCAAAATTCTACTAATTTTTTTTTTCATGTATGGCATGTCATAAAATTGTTAGGTTATTGTTATAAATTAAAAAATATCAGCATTGATTACTTCCCTTTACTCTCATGTGAACTAAATGCTAAGTTTGTTACTACTTTCAGTGCAAAAAATGACTTTGAATAATTAAGCAATCAATTATAAAAGCATCCAACAATCATTTTATTTATAAAGATCACAAAAGACCAGTTTGGAAATGAATGGCAAAATGCAGATATTTTTTTTTTTTTAAAATTCATCATGCAATTTAGTTTTTTCTAATAGGTATCTCCAATTTTCACCATTGGCTTTTTGGCGTGAAGATCTTATTCAAGCTTGAAACAGACTATTACTGCTTGGTGTTGACCTCAGTGTCCACTTTTATATTTTTCTGGTGTTGAGCACTTTTACCCATAAATATAGCATACCTTTAAAACTATTTTATCATATATAAAAGGTTTTGGTGGGACATACTTTCATTTTATTTCATTAGTTGTGTAAAGCTTAAACAAAAAGTATTTGAGATTTTACTCAGAAATTTGTTGAGATTTGGAACTACTCTCACCTGTATAAAGAATTATCTAACAAAATAAAATTTTATTGATTGTGTACAGGCCTTATTCTATGCTGCCAACAGTGGCTACATGTCTCTGGTTACTGAACTGAAGAAGGTTGGAGTTAACATTAAGCACAGAGATAACCGAAAAGATTCAGCTGCTGATATTGCTTATTCCCGGACTTTTGACCAGGTATATTGAAATTACCTCCCTTTATCGCTTAAACCCAAATTGCACTTTGCTACGTCAATGTATTTGGAAATATAACCATTAATGGTAATATTTCATTTTAATAAATAATTTAGGCATGCATCCATCTTAATGTTTGTGCATATACATACACATGATAGATATATATATATATATATATATATATATATATATATATACAGTGCAACATCAGTTTTCAAAAAGAAAATTCAAGATGAAAATGCCTTGGTTATCAAACAATGACGAACCAAGTTAACCCAAATGGAATAATTTCTGAGTCGACCGCCGTGTTGTATACATTTGTGTGTTGTGGCATGTTTTTCTTTTCCAATTTTATTGTACTGTGACTTTTCTTTTTTCTCTTTGCATTGATTCCCATTGAAAAAAGTTTCGGTTTATGAAGATTTTGTTTTACAGTCTTCAGGATCGAATTAAATTCATAAACCAAGATTCCACTGTGTGTGTGTGTGTGTATATATATATATATATATATATATATATATATATATATATATATATATGTTACTATTTTCTGAGAATTTTCTTTTGTACTAAAATTTACCTTAGCTTATTACTAATATTGGATATCACTACAATTTTAGTAATTACCCTTTCTTATCCTGTCTTTGTAAAAGTGTCACATGTAAAATACTGAAGTGCCCCCAGAATTAATGTCCCCAGTATACTGGATAGTTTTACTCTTGCCTATTTGTAGAAAATGATTTGGTTGAATGATTTCTGTGATACAATAGGTAGATGTATAGACATGAACAGGATTTAACACCGTTGGGCCCAGAGTAATGGGGACACTCTCCGAGATAGCAACTATTGAATTTTCTTGTACAGTAGAATCAAAGATATAGCAGGAATATGTGAATTCTGGATAAACATCAGTGGCATATGAAAATGGATAATGTAAGAATAGGGTTGCTAGCAACTGACAAGGATGATGACCACCCAACAAAGAAGTCCATTGTATCAAATCACATCTCAGTTCAATGCACTGTATATTCTATACTATGTAGTTTCTTAGTCCTCTACCAACAGTACCATTATTTGCACCAAAGCATTGTTTAATGCACTGCACATGATCCAGAAAAGATTGTTCTGGAGCATTTGAAGACTAGTGTCATATCATCTGGTAAAATGAGTTCCATTTTCAAATGTTTTGTTCATATGTAGATCACATGAGGCTATGAATTGAGCTTGTGGCAGCTTTGTAATAATTTGGAAGTATATATTCTGTAACAATTCACTAGGTACTCAAGTGAAAATGAAGTTTGTCTTTACAAGTATGATATATACACATCTTGCTGCAGGCTATTCACCCCCTCCCACCAACCTTATGCTTGTCAGGTTTGGTTATAGTGATGGTTTTGAGTGGCATGAAATTGGTTCCAGGTACTCCATTGATCATGTTTGGAACAAGTTACAGGTTCCACTAAATTACCTGCAGCCACACCTGACAGGCACAATTCTGATAACAACAACACTGGAATGTGCCTTGATAGATGTATACATGTAATGATTCCAGCAATTTGTAATTTCCATGACACATGATGTAGCTGCTGTTATCCTGACAAAGTGAGGTACTATACATTATTAGGTAACTGTCACAAATTTCAAAGGCACTTCAGTCTATTTTTAACATGATCTCCTCTTTTGCTAATGCATTGAATTTAGTGGTTGAAAATTTCTACATTGACAATTTCAGATCCAAATTTTGTTAATGTTTATATGACAAGCTTCAGAATTGTTGATCCATCTTCATGTATATTATATTTTTTTACTTATAATGTTTACTTTGTCCAGATTGCAGCTTTCCTTGATGATATTTACAAAGAAACAAATGATAAGCTGTCAGCCACTGAAAACATTGAATCTGATCCTTGTATGGAAAGAACTGAAATGTAAATCTCTCTTAATTTTTACATGACTTACTTGAATAAGATATAAGTATGCACCACTGGGTGGAACACAAAATTTCAACAATCTTCCTGTCTATTTATTCCAAATATTCAAAGTGCTAGATTAATTGGGATAAAATTTAGAATAGTATTAATATGTATTTCATTATATAAAATGTGTTTTAATCATGTAAATTGAAATCACAATGGTGAACACATGTACAAAAGCATTGTTCTTGCAATAATAAACATACATATTGTAATTGAAGATGAACCTTGACCTTTTTATATTTGGAATTGATCTCACTTATTTGTATAAGTCACATTTAGCATCATATCACTGTAGTACTGTGAAATTAATATCATCCATTCCTTCAGCTCTGGACATTAAATGTGTTGCAATAATAAATATTTACTGATATAAATATTTTCATAATTAAAACATCTCATTTCAAAGAATCTCATTTTCTCATTACGGTTATTTTTTACCTTTTCAAATTTGTGAAAAGATCTTGCAAATCGTGACTGTTACAATGAAAAAAATTGTTTTTCCAGAAAATTTCTTTTATGTAACATGAATTTTCTTGGATTAAGAAGCAGTTTTTTTTTTTTTTTTTTTTTTTTTTTTTGTTTGACAAGCTTGCTTGTTTTTTCAAGTATTTACTAATGATTTGATTGAAGACCTGTCAACTTTTAATATTTTTAAAGAGAATGACAAGGCTAATCATGATCCACTAATTTAGTATATACAGCTTAAGTTATTAGAATATTAATTTATTACTTCAGTCTGATGGATCTTAAAAGGACTAGAAAGATATTTTATTAACTTGTTACATTCCAAATGCTTTTGATTTTGCTTTTTACTATTGGTTCTTTCTTAAAGTTATGTGGATTATTTTTTTTTTTTATTTTTTTTTTTTACATATCTCATATTTCAAAAGACAGAATTTATCCCCCAAATAAATTAATTGTAACTGATTGTATTCAGTAAATACCTTTTTAAAGCTTCTGTTAAGGAGAATTTAAATTTGAGATTTTCAGTTATTGTAATTGATACAGATTACAACTTAAGGTGGTCTTGGATAGGGTTTAACAGACTTTATTCCTTTAGTTTTAATTTAATCGAAGAAGTTCCAAGATATGATATGGAATAAAATGAAGCAATCTTCTACTGCTTCAGTCACCATTGTAAAATATCATTTTCTTTGATTAAAAGTCAGTGTCTCTTGAAATCATTCTATTTGACTGATTTCTATGTTTAATGCCAGAAATTCTCTATAATTTATTCATCATTTCTTGTGGCAGCCAACTTTTGTTATTTTTCTTTTATTTTTTTTTCTTTTAACAGGCTTGAACGTTATGGGGAATTGGAATTGTTTTTGCATGGACTTGAACTTGGTTCATTCATTGAACTGTTTCATCGACATCAGGTTTCCTTTCACCAGTTGTTGCAACTTACAGACAGTGATCTAGAAAAAGTCAGTATTTTTTTTAATATTTTAAATTATTTATCCTGTATAAATAAAATGTTGTATCCTACTTTAAAAACAAAAAATAAAAACTTTAGAGTTTCAAACTGCATTTTTTTTGTCTGGTTCTCGTACCATTCCCTCCTCCCACCAAAGAATTAATAAAAGGCAAGAAATATTTTCAAAGTTAAATAAAATCTTCATTCAAACCTTCTTCACTTAGACCAAAATAATCAATTTCTTTCTCTTTGCAAATGTTACTGATATTAAGCAGATCTTAATTTGCTGTTTAATTGGAATTCTGCTGAATTTGTGATGATATATTAGTTGTGAAAACTTTTTCTTCTTCTTTTTACCAGATAGGTGTCATGAAAGTTGGTGCTCGGAAAAAGATAGTTGATGCTATCAAGGCTGTGCATAAAAAAGATTGGCAAACAACCAGCCTCATGAAAATTCAGTATGACACGAGTATCAGGTTTGTGCATGTCCAGTCATTCTCATATTTTATTTATTATTGCTGGAGGGCATATTTTCATAATTAAATCTCTCAGATGCACAGACTGATAGACGTGATTCACAGTTTTAAATAAATAAAGGCATCTACTCAAACACTTTTATCCACGAAAATAACATTTAGGGTAATAAGAAATAATGTTGAATTAAAAATAAAATCCATGAATTGCTTTGGAATTACACATGCACGGACATATATTCTGTCTCTCTCTTTCTCTCTATATATATATATATATATATATATATATATTTTTTTTTATCTTTTATTTTTTTTTTTAAGCATTTCACCCCAAGCAAGGCGGGAAGCCACTAGGATGAAAGGGGTTACAGAAAATTTAGAGCGAGATCAGATAGGAGAGATAGAAGAGAGTATGAGGTGAAGGGCAGTGGATAGATCAAGGCAACTGGAGATGTCGATTGACATTACACTTGAATAGCTGGAGATTAGAGCTCACAGGGAAACAGGAATAGGGAAGGGAGTTCCACAGGCGAGATGTGCGAGACATGAAGCTATTAGAGTAGAAGAGACGGCTACATTTAGGAGTTTCGACAGTGAAGGGGTGAGAGCGGGATGCCAGCCTCGTAGGGCGCTTGAACTCATGAAGTCTGGGAACCAGCGAATGCAGCTCCTCGGAGCAATTACCATGAAAGTATTTGTAGAACAGACAGAGGCAATGGCGTGTCTGTGAGAAAGTGACTGTAGACAAGATGCCAGAGCAGGGCCAATTATATTGCATATCCGCCTCTGGAGCCTATCAAGAACCCCAAGGCAAACAGAAGGGGCACCAGACCATATATGTATGTTTTGGTGGCTGGGTTTTAAATTAAAACTAATCAAAATGGATTGAATTTTCCTTCACCTTAACAACTCAAAATATTAAGATTGTCTGCGCTCATAAAGTAAATTTCTTAGAATTTATTCCTAACATCGCTTGACAATGGAACAAGACTCTGGATTTTAAGTTTAATTTTTATAATTAAATTTAGAACTTTAGTTTCAGTTTTGAAACATAGAAATTTCTGTGTCACAATGGAATTACATTTTTAAAAAAGAAAATAATTATAATATTATGTTTTACTGTTTGTATTGAGCACTTTTTTATTTTATTTTATTTTTGTTTTAAATAAAAATAATTGCTAAGAACACTGGATTATAAATCTTACTGTTCTTTCTTATTATTTTAGTGTGTGTGTGTGTGTGTGTATATATATATATATATATATATAAAACATACAGATTGAGTACAAAATTTTGGGGTTAATATTTGCAAAAGTTTGCAATTTATCTTCAGATTGTTTTCCTACTCCTTATCACCAAAAATATTTCATTTATTATTACAAAATTTACTACACTTAACTCATTTCCTCTTGTTAGTTTAGACACTTTTTCATTTTTTTTTTTTTTTTTTTTTTTTTCTTAAGTTCATATTTTATTGCTTTTTCATGAAAGCTTGAAATTTTACAACATATCACTGAAATTTTTCACTTTCCAAATTGTACTTTATAGTTTAGGTATATGGAAAAAAAGATGAATGTTTTCAGGAAATGAGTGGTAGGGGTCACTGGGGAAAATATCAGACCAGCTGAAATTTTGTTTGTGTACTTGCTTCAGAAGCAGTTGGCACTAAAATATAAATGTGGTTATTATTACGTCACCCAAACCACTAAATGTTGCTCTGTCTCTCTTTTCTATGTATGCATACCATAAATGACCGATTTGGCAGACATGCTAATTCAACGAGGGTGTTTATTACTTCCAAGATTACAGATTATGACAGTCATGCAATAAACTTTTTTTTTTTAATCAGACAGTTTGCTTGTTAATCATGTACTCTTTTCAAGGATAAACTTTTATTAACTATTTTTTTTTTTTAAGTTCAGAATGGAACTTTTTATATGCAGTTGTTGATTAAGCACTGCATGGAAACAAATTTCTTTAAATAAGCATGCCCCTTTTGTTAGAGGACATTTATTTGGCACATAGTACAAATTCAGTCTTGCTAATTTTATGTTATTGAGACTGTCACTTGAAAAATTATTTAAAAATTAGTTTGTATATCAAGAGTAAATACTTCAACATTGTTTTGTTTCTACAAAATAGCAAATAATTAGCAGTTCACTTTTGTTTGGGAATCTTCAAAAATCTAATAAAATTGTTATTTTTAGAGATACATTTGAAGAATAATCAAAGAAATGTTTGAATAAGAGCAACTTCATCTCCAGACAAGTTCACTTTTGATATCATAAAAGTCTGCTTGCTGATGTGTGTTTACTTATTAACTTCTATTCACTCTTGTCCAGAAATGAAGTAGGAGTTTGAATTATTTCTTTTCCTTAAATTCTTTACTTCTGCTTAATTATATCTGCTTTGATTTCAGTTATCAAGTATATATATATTTTTAACAATGACTGTATTATGTTTGAATCAAGTGTGGAATAGTATAAGAGTTAGCAGCATGGAAAACAGAATTGGCTGACAGAATTTGAATTCTGACTATTTTTTGCTTAATACTAATGCCTTTGGGAAAGTCATAAATCTTTTTCTTTTTTCTTACTATTGTTCACTCAATACAAGACTCAAGAGCCATTTAAAGCAGATGGTTACTAATTGAGGTTGTTATAAAGATGCACAGGGAAGGATTCAGGGGTGTATGTTATAAGGATATGTAGGATAGAAAATAGTTGACCCGAAACTTGAGGTTAAGATTGTAGTCATCTGGGAAGCATCTTGTAGAGTGGGGAGGGTATGTTCCACTTTGCAACAGTCAATTCAGTGTATGTGGCCTGAATGTTCCTACCTGTGAATGTCTGGGCTGGTGGAACCAAGGAATGTAATTTACTCAATCATCTGCCATGAAAATGATAATAGAGGAGCAATAGGTTAGCAACATTTTGTCTCTGGAAAACCCTTCACCAGACACAAGGCTGCACAAATATTTTTAAACTTTGTCGAGGCTGGAAAACACTCTCTGAAACAATCCGTCGAACCAACCATTTTTTCCAGCATCTTTAGCAATTTATTGTATTTATGAGTTTTACTTGAGATCTGGAGTGAGCTTCAGTCCCAATAGACATTCAAAGCAATGTGACTCATTGAATGTACAACCATTCATCAGGACAGGAGAATTCTCAGTGGTTGCTCTGTGAATTGCCAGATACCTTGACAAGACAATAGGTGATACTTGGACAGACTATTCTTCTTTACATGCTCAAATAGCAATAAAGCAATCTTTTATCTCCAATCAATCTTTGAAGGATCCAGTCATGTTTAAGTCAAACTACTGGTTATAAAAAGTAACTGGTAAAAGGCTACAAACCATGCACATTACAACGCTGCCCTACTTTGTTACATGTAGGGAACAGCTTTAAAAAAAATCTATTTTCTCTAGACAGTTGCTTTAAATAAGTATTTTCAATCATTTCTCTCAGCAATTCTAATTTTTTTCTTTGTATGAAAATTGCATAAAAGATTTCTTTATTCAATTATTACCCACAAATATCTCCCCCATCACTGTTTGATAAAGTTGTCTAATAACTTCTTAAGTGTAGTTTTATTTACATGAACTTTGGTTCGCCTGTCTATATTTTTTGTATAGATCAGTAAATCAATTATCAGTCAATCAATAAAAACTGATAATGCAAAGCTCTAAAGTCTAAGTTTGGTCAACATGTAATCTGCTTTCAAATACAAATAGGTTTAATCCCATCTGATAATATGAATATTGATGCAAATAATATAAAATCAATAATTTTTTTCCCCTAAATTGTAGTGTCTGTTTCATGGAGAAATTGATCTTAAATTATATAGTTCATAAAATGTGAGAGGAAATTTGTTTTTGTCTTGAAATACCATATACAATAATGATTTTTGGATTATTGAATTAAAAAAAATTTATGCACATACAGATTTAATGTTATGAATTTTATCTTTTGCAGGTGTTCAGATGCTGCTGCTATGTTAGCTAATATTTCCCGACATACTCTTTACATAACATCTACTATTGGTTATATTGGGGATCAAGTACGATTACATCCAGAAATTATCACAGAAACATATGTAAGTAATATAAATGAAAGAATTAGACACCTCAACTTAATACATGCAATTTCAAAAATATTTCTTAGCCAAGCTGATCAAAGGTTTAGTTCCCTCTTATATAAAATAAACATCCTTAGTAATCAACAAACATTTAAACTCTGGGTATGTGTCAATTGTTGAATTATCAAGGTGTTTTTATATTGTTACTTGCTATATTTCTTGGGATTAATAGTGGAGTGGCTTCCTGTTGCCTTCTCCCTGGTGGTAAAGAGTCTGCCTCCTTGTTAGCTGGCCATTGACTCCTCGAGAGTTCTGCCTTTTGTAAGGCTTTATTTTTTATCCTACTGGGCTGCTAACAACCCATCTCACTCACAAGAACATGGACTGAGATAGCTATGCACTGGGGAGTTAAAAAAAAAATTCTGTTAGAAAAGGACAAGGTTTATGGAACAGAGTAAGTTGGAGTAGGATGAAAGAAGAGAATAAAACAATTATTAAGTTAAGTTTTAACTTAATATAAGTTTGAATACCCATTCTTAGTAACTGCATTCTCATAATCCCTAGTCAATCTCCACCAAAAAAAAAAAAAATCACATCATTAAATGCTGCAACTCCAATCAATTAACATTACTTAAATAAACATATTATCATTATGAATGTATAGAAAAAAAAATTAGAACAGCACAAAAGACATGCTCATCAACAGGCTGTATAAAATCAAAGGATGGAATGTTATACAAAGAAAAAATTCTTCAGCTCTGGAACAGATATTTCAGAGATTTCTTCCACGACAAAAGAAAACAACTGATGAGCTGGAAATATTAAAAACCTGAGTGGAAACTTCACTGGCCAGAAATAATAAATGAAATCTACAACAGTGATGATATACTGGAGGACCTAAGCAGATCTATTTTTATAGCATTGTCTAAGAAACCAGGTGCAAACAAATGTGAACAATTTGTCTAATGAACCACATAACAAAACTCATCATCCAAATCCTGATGAATTGAGCATGCAGCAGAATCAAGCCGGAGAGAGGACAAGAACAGTGTAGGTTAGTCAAAGACACCAGAACAAGGAACATGATATTTATGCTTAGGATGTTATCAGAAAGAGCGATACAGATGCAGAAGGACGTTTACCTGTTTTATAAACTATGCAAAGACATTCAACAAAGTATGCCACAAAGCTCTGTTAGAGCTGATCAGCAACCTTGACATATTTGGGAAAGACATTAGAATAATCAAAAATCTATACTGACAACAAACCACCTGTATACAGATTAAAAATGAGGTCAGCAGATATACAAAAATAGAAACGAGTGTAAGACAAGTATGTATCTTCTTACTGGACTTATTCACCCTATACAGCGAGGCAATTCTGAGAGAACTAGAAATCCTACCAGTGTTTGTCATTGGTAGTCACAATCTTTATAAGATATGCAGATGACAAAGTGCTGTTAGCAGACATAGAAAGGAAACTATAAAACCTTCTACAGAATATAGCAAAAAGAGAGCAAGAAGAAAGGACTAAGCATAAACTACAAGAAAACAGAATGCATGGTCATCAGCAAAAATATGAGCCCAAAATGCAAATTACAGGTCAGGGATACTAAAATCAAGCATAAAGCAAGTACAGAAATTTAAACATCTGGGAAGTGTTCTAACAGGACAGAAAGTGCAACACTGAGATCTGAAGACATATTGGAATGGCCAAAGACACATTCCAAAAGTTAAGCAGAGTATTAAAATAAAATGGTACTGAACTGTTATGTGATATCTGTCCTCCTGTATGGCAGTGAATGCTGGAGAATCTCCTCAAAGATAAAGAAATTCTAAGTAACAGAAATGTGGTTCTACAGAAGGATGCTAAGGATACCATGTGCCAAACATGTGAGCATCAACAAGAAGAGAATGGAAACAAAGAGGAAACTTATGCTTAACATCAGTAAGAGGCAGTTGAAATTTCTGGGACATGTAACGAGGAAGGAGGGCTTGGAAAATCTAATACTCACAGGATGGATAGAGGAAAAGAGGGATGGGAAAGCAACATGTGACATAATGGGCTTGAACAAATGGATGGCAGAACAGGGTCAGGGAAAAATAACAAAAAGACAATTTATTAAGAGATACATGGGGAAGGAGGATATGGAGGGCCATGATCATCTACATCCTGAAGAGAAACGGCACATAAAAGAGAAGACTTTATATTGGTAGAGATGATCCCTGATTGTGGTACCATTGGGAAGTACCTCAAAAATCTACCATTGATTGACTAAAATCTTGTGAGGGGAAATTAGGTTGACAAAGCTGTTCAAAGTCAATAGTTATTGTGCTAACCCAGTCAAGTTATGATCAAATGTTCTTTGTTCAACTACTGATCGCACCAAATTGTCAGCTTTCCAAAAATTTAATTAATATCTGCTCAATATAGTTGCAGTATAAAACCAAAGTTTGGTTGTGTGTGTGCTGAAGAAACAAATGTGTGTGAGCAGGCATCTGCAATAGGGATTAGTTAACCATTCTACAAATTAGCATACACAGAAATGCGTAGTCAGTCATTGAGCAAGGGAGGCAATTTTAAATGTTTGTTAAAGTTTTGTAGTATAATTCAGCAAGCAAGCTACAAATTTGTTTTAAATATATTTACATTATGACAAGCTGAAATTTCTTAAAAATTCAAATTTTAAGAAAATGAAACTATTTTAATTTAGAAGAGTAATTTTCAAGTTGGATTTAAATATTGAAACAGAAGATAGTGAATTTGTCCAGTTTTGAATGTCTGATGGGTGGGAAAACATTTGGCCTGTCTTTGTTACTAGTTTTATTTTCCCTTTTCTCTCAGTTTCTCAAAATAAATTTTAAAAAATGCTGGTTACAAAATAATTGTTTAATATGAAAAAAAATGGCAAACAAAACAATTAAAATAGAATTAAATGAAAACAAGTTAATATTAGACTCTTAAATGTATAATAAATAAAAATTATCAAGTCGAAAAAAACATTAAAAATGTAAGAGAAAGCTAACCAACAAAAAGGTGTTTTATTATTTACAAATTCAATACTAATGTTAACTGAAGGGTCTTGTAGAAAGCACCATTTTTTCCTTCAATATTTTGGTTGTCTTCCAGTACAATTGAAATTTTTCTTGATAGTTTTACAAGTTCTAATCTTCTCAAGAAACTGTAGAGCCATTCCCAAAGCTCTTATTTATCTTTGTGCATCTGATTGATAATATGCTTTAAAATAAAAAGGAATTGCAAGTCCATCAGATATAAATAGATGCAGTCCAGTGTAGTTGAAGTAGAAACATATGATAACTTATTCTCCCTAATTGTGCTTTACCTGTGTAGTGGATCACGTGAGAAAATCTTGGATATTTGAGGATTAGTCTGTTCTGCTTAGTCCCTCCTCTTTTAATTCAAAAATGCCTTTTTAAGATGACAGCTAAAATGGTGAATATTTGCAAAAGCTACATTTGTTGCTCATTAGTGGACCAGTTACAAAAGGGTTAACCTTGTTAAGCATTCTTTTCAGATGTTAGTAATGTTCTATTTATTTTCACTCATCAACTTAAACACCATGAAGTAGACTTAATGAACTTTATACATCTTACCTAATTACATTTCCTAAGTACTTTTATCTTGTTTTGTAGTTGTTGAGTTTTTATTTGTCTCATCAAGAGTTCCTCTTTGACTGAACAAAGATTGTCACCTGGTTGATCACCAGCCATATTAAGAGTCAACTAATAGTGGACTCACTAATAATGGTGAAAAAGCAGCAAATTGTGTTGCTTGCTTGCTTGCTTGTTTTTGACAAAGTGGTGCAGAAAATCTTGGCATTTTGCCATTAAAAACAAATTGTGGTAATTCAAGAAAAACAAAAGGAAAAGGTCTTGATTCTTATTTCTGTAAAGATGTAGAGCAAATTTTATACCTTTTGATTTATGAACATGACATTTTGGGATTGCTTGTGCTCAATAACCCAGAAATACTCTTTTAATTTTCAATATTTGTGTAACAGCATTATTTTAACATTTTTATATATATATATATATACTTTGTTTTTTTTATGCTCTATTTAAAAAAAATAAAAAGACTGTTTGGTATTTATTTTATATTTGTTTCTTAAAAAGACAAATTATGTTAAGTCTTTTTTCAAATTAAAAGAAAAGCCAACTCAAGTCCTGTTTGGATTTTTCTCTTAATAAGAAAAGTCTTTTAAGCACAATCTTTTGTCATTTTGAGACGTCGGAAAATCTGTATAGAAAATAACTTAGAATATACATCTGTGGTTATTTGGATGATTGAATCTTGATGAGTCAGTTTATTTGTCGTTTGTATATTTGCGTGCTCTTATATTCAATCATATTTACGTGTTTGGGTATTGTGACATGATGTTGATCTGTCTTGTCACCAATAAACCTTTCTCCCTCATCCACAAAATCTCTAATCACAATCCTGTCAATGTAACTAATTTTGTAGCCATATATTTCACTTTTTACTTCCACTCAGATTCGGACGGAAAACTTAACATATTACTAAGAACAATACATGAAAATTTAGGCATATTTTCTGTTTTGTTTTTATTTTTGTTTTTTTTGTTTTTTTCTCTTGTAAGTTTTTAAACTTGATGCATGGTTATATTTAGTTTAATATTCATAACTTATTTTTTAATTACATAATAAATTGGAGATTAATTAGTTATCCTGATTTCCTATATAATCTAATATTAATTTTAAAGCATTAATAAATTGTATCTAGGGCCTGTTGTCGCATTATTTGAATTATCATATACTTGTAATTTGATTGGCCATTACATCTTATGTAAAAATATTCCCCCTAGTAGCGGGGTAGTGGTTAGCTTTGAACTCTTTAAAAACTTTTTATTTTACTTACAAAACCATCACTTGACAAGACATCAGAAGAGTTGAAACAAAATGGCTATTTTTGTAGTGATGTTATGACATACTTATGCTATCATTTTTAAATAAATATTATATATATACTGTTCTGGGTAAGACAATAAACTACATCTTACAGCTAGGCATTTGATTAGGAGGTTTTGAGGAGCATGGAACCACTTTTTAATTGCTGGTGTTCCCAGGGTCCATCCTGATACAGGATAGTAGCATCTTTCAGGGTCCCAACTATGAGCAAATAGTTAGCCCCTCAAAAGTGCTCAAAACACTATGAAAGTGTAAAAATGGATTTTAATACCAGCAATACTTTTTTTTTTTTTTTTTTTTTTTTTTTTCTTTGTTTGTTGAAAAATTATTACCAGTGGTACATTTTTTAGAAAAGAAAAAAATATTACCAGCAATACATTTTTGGAGAAAAAAAATATATTACCAGCAGCAAAAATCTTGTCAGTATTAAGTAACTCATTGAGGTTGATATGCCATAAAATAAAACAAAAACCAAACATATAGCTTTAAGGTATGCTATATTTATGGTTAAGTGCTCCATATCAGGGATGATAGTGTGTAAATAAAAGAGGGCACTGAGTCATCATAGAGTAGTAACAGTCTGTTTCATGCTGGAATGCAATCATCAGGTCATAGATATATTAATAACAGCATTCCTGCACATAATTGATTCTAATCAACAGACTTTAAAATAATTTAAAATATAACCTTTCTTGCCTACCCAATAACTGTTAGGATAACACAAACTTGGAATATGCTACCTGTAATGCTCCCCATTGACCATCATATATAGTCAAGCTACCACTCAACATACATGGGCTGAAGATTGCATTCCGGCATGAAACACTGTCACTACTCAATGTTGATCTCAGTGTTACATGTTACTTTCTGTACAAATATTTTGCAAGTTTCTTGATTAATAAAATTATAATGTACACAGTTTATATTGGCATGACCTCACCTACACTGGCATCCATCCATTGTTAATGTAATTTTACTTGTGTGTGATGCATTTTTCAGGTTAAATGGAATCTTAACTGTTGATGTTTGCAATACTTATCACTTGCTTTTCTTTCATTTAGAAATTACGATCCAGTTTATCATTTAAACTTAATACTGATTAACTGCTCCCATATTTTAATCAACTCATTATGAGCTCTTCTTAATTCACTTAAATTTTCTTGTTTAGCAAATGTGTATTTCAAAGAGTAAAGAAAATGTTGAAACATTTGTAGAATAAATAAAATGCCTGTTTAAACAATTCATAAATTTTCCTTTGATATTTGTACATCTTTTTCTTCTTGACATGGATTTGTTTTTCATAATGAAAGCCTTTATTCTACACTCAAAAAAATAATTTGGTAATTTCTACCCTGAGATGCTCCTAGTTGTTTGTTAATCAAAAGAGGGTAGGTTTTTTCTTTAGTTATAAGAATGAAGCCACTCAGCCTTTTAATAAGTATTTTGTTTTTTAAACAAAAATGAGAAGCAAAATGTAATTTTTTTACTTTCACCCTCCTATCCCCAACACACCTAAAATGTTTAAATTGTGAACTGTATAATTTGATTTGAAATAAATTTATATACAACCATGTTTTTCTTTGTTTTTTACATAACAGTAACTAAGAATTGCATTAATTTTAAATACCAACATGCTTTTCTTTCTTTTCCCCCACTCTTTAGGATACCAAATTATTAAAGCAGCTTCTCCATTACATGCAGGAAGCTAAGCAAAATACTTCCAAACTTGTCACTCAGTTGGATAACTTTGATCACAGCATCAAAATAGTAAGTATTTAGTCATTCATTCTTAATAACTATTGCTTTCATTTAGTTTGTTCTTCTATTCTACAAATCTTAGATTGAAAATGTCATTATCAGTTGAAACTTGAATTTTCTCTATCAATGAAAATTGTCTGCCATCCATTTAATATTTTCATCATCCCAACAATAATCATTTATGTCCCACAAAAGAAAAGTATACAATTTTGATTACATTAAAATATTCTAATGAAGATTGACTACAGCTCTTTTGATCAATAGAATCCAAGATATACAATGATAAATTCATGCCTATAAAATTAAATAGCTAGTCATATTAAATAATCAATAAGAAGAAACCCAGTTTCATAGAAGTAAACACTGCAACAACAAATAAAGTTTACAAGTTGGAGAGAGGAGGCTACATAAGTAGTTCATTCTTCTCTCATCCATTGTCAATATTGAAGAAAGAAAAAAAGAAATTTGGCTTTTTTTTTCTTTTTTTTTTTTTCTTTTAATTCAAGATAGTTTTGTAATGTTCATTTTCTTTATTTTTATAATATAAGCTTCATTTTAGCAATTGAACTTTGAAGTTTTCATTATAAGGCTAATGTGTGAAATATGATTTTTCTCTGAATAAAATTAGAATTGTTTGTAAGTTTTCTTGATTGGTTGTTGTATGATATGTTTCTTTGTCTTTTCACTGCTTCTTTTTTTTTTTTTTTTTTTCTTTCCAGTTGACAGAGAAAAAAAATTTAGAGCCAATTAACCACATAACAGAATCAAGTATTGTTAAAAAGCGGCAATATTTTCCATTTTTAATCCCTCAAACACAACACAAACTTCTAATGACAATGACAGTAGCTCTTATGGGCTTGATGATTTGGAAAAAGAACATTGTTATTGATAAGTTCATTTTATTCTCTGACCGGATTCAACACTGGTTTCATTTTAAGTAAGGAAGACTTTTTTTTTTTTTTTTTTTCCAAAAATGATGCATTTAAGTCTGTGATATACAAAAGACTTTTATTCTTTATAAACATCATCTTCTATTACACTTACATTTTTTATTTCTTTTTAATCATTTTCTTTCTCTTAATGATTATTTCTCAGGTGTTGTCCATAGAACTGTTTGAAACAGCTTGGTCTGTATAATAGAACTATTACCATCTGCCATATGCAGTGACACTATAAAAAAAAAACAGCTTTATTGAAAATACAAGTTTTGTTTTTGTTATAATAAAAGCCTGAAATCAAGACAAATTATATCCTTTTTTTTTTTTTTTTTTTTTTATTTAATCTTCTAACTGACAAAGTTTAAGTAAATAAATAGTAAATTGATAAATTTAAAAAAAAAATGAAAAAAAATTAAATTTTAAATATTTTGTGTAGTAGTTTTTATTTGTAAAGGTAAAATGATTCCTGCTATTATTAAGGCAACATTCTACTTTATGTGGACTTAGAACTTGAGCACATTTTTGAAAAACCCTATCAAAATGAAAGACACCCCCTACACAAAACCTTATTTTAGTCATTTTATATTTTAATCTAGTTTAACGTCAAGCTTCTTATTGAATCATTGGTCTTTTCTTATTTTAAGCATTTCTTTGATAGTTGTAAGTTACAAATTGTCATTACAATAAAAGAAAATCCTTATCTCTCATCAGTTTTATTGTGAATTCCAGTCTGGGTTTTATGCCAAAATTGGCTTTTAGACCTCTGCAGTGTTTTGTCATAAATAAAATTCCTCACTCAAAATATTGCTATTGCCACCTTGATTAATAATTGACTTTGCACTAAGGAAAATGTTTCAAACTAAAGTCAAGAATTCCATATATATATATATATATATATATATATATACATATATTTTTTTTTTTTTTTTTTTGTAAATTCTATATATGCTCTGCTTTCTTAGCTGTCTGGCATGTGCGTATCAGACAGCCAGAGGTAAATGCGTTATGGCAATCAAAACTCTGAAGACAGTCTCGTTTATCAGTTGGTTTGTTGAAGGCCAAAAGGAGTGAAACTAGAAAAAGAAATAAATACAAGTTTGGGACTAGTTTAGTCTGGATAACAAATAAATACAAAGATAAAAAGGGAAGGCAAAGAAGAACCTGATAAAGACAGCTGGAGGTTGAACATAGTAGTGAGACTGTGGGTCTTAATGCGTAAGGGAGTGGAGCAAATAGTTTGATTCAGGAATATACTATCATGTTTGCAGTGTAAGTTCTCAAAAAGAAAGAGTTATATTAAGTTACAGTTTGAAAACGGTGTGTAAACAGTCAACACTTGGTATTTCTCCCTGTAGAATACATTGAGAAATAGAATACAAAAATGAATATATAAAAGTTGGCTAGCTTAAGTAAAGGTTCAAATAATAATAGAATAAGAGAGACCAATGCTCAAAGAAAAAAAGGTTACAAAGGTACATAATGTAAATACTATTAGATTCAAGAGGATGCATTCTCTGTGATTTATTGTTCTGGTAATAACTAAGGATAACAAGAAGTGGTCAAAACTAGCAGTCTTAAAAAAAAAAAAAAATCAACTAGATTAAAAAGGGAATGAACAAGAGCAAAATAAAATGATGGAAGTGCTGTACCATAGTAACAGAATACTGCCCACCCAGCATGATTCTAAGCCATAATTACCATATTGTTTTCATGAGGAAGAAGTACAGTTCTTGAAACTCTCCCTCCCTCCTAGACGCTCTCTGGGAATGGTGTGACATTTCTATAGGGTGTAAGGTCACTTGTGTACTGATAATCAGGATCCTCCACCTATTATCGTTCTGCTTCAAGTTGGCATAAATCTTGGGAGGTATTTGGGTCTTGTGTATCGATAATATCCCTTTGTTCTGCTCCCAGGAAACCTACCCCAAGTGTGGTGTAAGGTCTTAGCTGATATCATTCCTAATCCTAGCTTCTTTTTCTATGACGTCCATGAATACTGAGAAAAGAAGTAAAGAAAAATCTAGTTGCTTGTCGCTGGAACCCAGGAACAACCACTTGTCTTGGGGACTGAAGGGAAGTTTTTGTACTTGTGGCTTGATCTTTTGGACTGTACCCAATAAAATGACTGAAAATATTTTTATCTTCTTTAGCAGACTGGAGTTGTCAGGAGGTTGCTGGATTGTTAGCTTAGGGAAATTCTTGTTTGACTTCTTTGGGAAGTATTCTACTAGTTTCAAGAGTGATCTTGAAAGTGCTATAGCTCTCCTCTAGTCTATCTCACATCATCGCCTGTCCTCTTTCTAATTGGTTCAGATGAACAGGTATGACTCTATTCACATACTTCACGAACCCCTTGCCAAACCACTTTAGGAGGAGATTCATTTTTTTTCACTATTTCAGGTCAGGTCCTTTTGTAACACTGAAAGGATTGCTTCCCAACTATGTAGCTCTCAGTTCAGTCATTGAAATTGAATACACCAATCATAGCCAGATCTTGACAAGCAAGATATCCACTGAAAACCATTTTATATCCTCTTATGTGTCCTTTGTGTGACGTTCACACTGTCCTTCTGGAAATGAGAGAAACATCTGGATGTTTGGGGTCTGATGCTTTGGCAATCTGTGAGTGATGGCTGATGCCAGTAATAACTTTCAGAGGGTGAATACTGTTATTTGCTTTAAGTGCTTGACTGTATTGGCCTGTGCACAATTGCCGAGCTCTAACCCTGAACTTTTTTCTCTCTATGATTGTTCATTACATATTCAATACTGTGTTGTATGGGGTCAGGTGAAGTGGAGTTAAGCACTGGGTCACTGCAATTCTGTTGCATGTTTTTAGGTTCAATGTCTGCTTCAGTGAAGACAGCAATGGCTTCTCTCTCTCTATAAATAGTATCTCCATTGATGCTTCCAACCGGGGTCTTTCTATTTTCATCATTTCTTTTTCAGCAAACACAAGACATGTCTTGGCAGCTTCATCTTTAGCCTGTGCTTTGGCAGTTGCTGTTGACTTGCTTAGAGCCTTTTGAATAGCATGAAGCCCATGACCTAGGTTTATATGAGTTTTTTTTTAGTGGGGGGTTCCTCCTGCTATGATAACAGGAGCAAGACACTACTGTATTTTTGTTAACCTTCCTAGTTATTCAACAGAGTAGTAGTATCTGAAGATGATGTGAAATGCTATCATAACCTACCAGAAAGCCACCCTTCACTGTTCTACCTTCCATTAAATGTCCATGTTGCACATTTGCATATCTTGAACAACCATATAAACACATTATGGCAATTAAAACTTGGGAACTTGATGAAAATTTGGCTAAAACAGGAAATGTCAATTTGAAATAAATTATTCATTTCTTTAGGTCCTGATGCAACATAGATGGTATTTTTTTTTTTTTTTTTTTTTTTTTTTGAGAGGAGAGACAGAGGTAGCAGTCTGCATTCTAAGAGGCAGCAGGAAGGATGATGTCACTCATTGGTTTAGCATCTCTCTGCATTTGGTTTAGCATCTCTCTGCATTTGGTTTTAACCTGTCTCTTGAACCTTGGTCTGGCAAATGTATTGATACTTCAAAATTCTTGCTGCCCTCTTTTGAATTTGTGCAGTTTTCAACTTGTATTCAAAACCCTGGCAAAGACAATCCATCACTGTCAATACCATATCCCCAAGGTATTCTGGCCAGTCACTGATCTTTCTGGCCCAGACCTTTGCGTTATATAACAAAATCAGTTTGTTTTTTTTTTTTTTTTTTTTTTTTACTGATGCGACAAGGGTACAAATTGCTTGGGAATTAAGCAACTAAATTCTTTTTATATTGGCTAAATATTTCTTTCTTTTTATTTATCTTGGTTGTAATGTTATAAAACCAAGATAAAATGCTTAAAATATGCCTGATTGAGTTGTCTTGATTTCATTCTTCATTCTATAAATCCTTGATAGGGGTTCATTAATTTTGTTCCCACTGTGTATATGTAGTCCTCATAGACATTGGAAACACATTGAAAGAGAAAAATAAAGATGTTTGTTTGTTGTTGTTTTTTTTTTTGTTTTTTTTTAATCATTTATTTTCTTTAGTATTACTACAAGAGATATACATATATCATTTACAATCATTTGAGAACAGTGGAAGAGAGTGTTCAGAAGAAACGACTCTTGATCTAAAAGAATTATCTTCCTTTATTAACATGTTCTACTGTATGATTCATCTTTTTTTTTGCCTTGACAATCTTTGAAGATTAACTCAAGAGTTGTAAGGGACAGACTTAAAAGTGTAGATGCTTGTTTTATTATTAATTACCACTATTAGTGTAATAAAGAAAAGTGCTACAACTGCAATATTTTAAATGCTCTTTTCTCTTAGGGTCATGTCTTTAGATGGGTATCTTGCATTTTACATTAAGTTTCTGTTGTCAGCCTTGTTGCACATTTGCTGAATATAAATAAATAACTCAGTTGTTTGATTTTGTTTTCCCTCTTTACTTTTATTTCTTATTTTGACAATAGTTTAATTATTATTTTCCTTTTTTACTTTCATTTTTTTAATGAGAGAGAAGTTCAAACTCTGGAAAAGATTTTGTCCAGCTGTCTATTTGATCCCCTCTCGTGATTAAAATCCCAGTTCTTGATTAACATCTCCTAAGCTGTTATCCTCTCTATCCATTTATTCTTATTAGTTTATTTCTAATAATGTAAGATAAAGAATCAGAGATAATAATGCACTTCTTTACAAAGATCTGATATTTAATTCAAGTCAATTATTACTGCTTACCTACACTTAATTTTGGGGTCTTTCTTAAAACAATATGAGACACTTGCTAGCAAGTTTAAAATCTGAATCATAGAATATTTAAGTGTTGCTTAGATCATTAAAAGTATTCTTTTGAATATCTCCATTGTTGAATCTTGGCTTCTAAAAATAATTAACAGCTAATTTGAAGTATATGTTATAGACAAGCTATAGATTTATTTCTCAATTTAGAATTAGTACTAAAAACGAGTAGATTTTTTTTCTTCTTGAGAAATACGATTTTTGTATGTTTATATATACAAATCTTTTTTTTTTTTTTTTCTTTTTTTGTGTATGTATGCATATGTCTAACAGTTTCCAAATATATAAAATCTGACTGCACATCTTTAGGTTTTCTTTAGGATTTTCATCAATTAATACAAAACAAGTTTTTAAGTAAATAAGAATAAATATTTTAAGAGTTCATGCTGGGAGGTTCATTTATATCAGACGGTTTCCATAGATTTTTTTTTACTTTCTCTGATGATAAAAAAATTGTAACAACCAGTTGGATGTTTAAAATATTTAAAAAATTGAAATTAAATCTGTCAGCTATCGACATGAATTAAACTTCTCTATATTCTCTAAGATTAAGCTCAGATTATATAGTAGAAGCAACTCGCAGATATCTAGTTTACATGGAAACCAAATGTAATCACTCTGCTTAGGCTGTCTGAAAAGGTTAAATCTATCACTGGCTTCTCGATTCTCTTTTCTTAATCAGCTAAAAAGTAGCTGATCATGTAAATGGGGAAATTTCCTATTTTAGAACTATCTGTATTTCAAAAGAATAAAGTGCTGTATACTGTAGAAATATGGCCTTGAGCTACCACCCCCAAGCCCACCTATAAACTAATGAGAGTACAGAGGTTAGTGTGCTAGTTACAAGTGTCCAAAAATGAGTTGGGTCCTCTTTGAGCATTCTAGAAATGGAGCTTTGTTTCAAAGCTGACCTAATCCAAGAAATAACTATTCAGATTTCAAAATGGTCCTTCTAGAAGGAAGATTTCAAAATCGTAATTCTAGAAGACTTTTCAAGTGCAGTTAAAGTCAATTTTATTCAGATGACTTTCTGAGATCATATACTAGTTACCTCTGGATGAACACATCTTGGGAGACTTCTTTCTTTTTTTCTTTTTTTTTCTTTTTTTTTGATGTTATTCTTCCAGAGAAGTAGATCAATTCACACACTTACCCAGTCCTTTGAGAAAGAATGGATGTTTATCCCTTGTTTCTTCTAAAGTTTACTCCAACTCTATATTTCTAATATCTCTGCCTAAACTCTGAAATTTTATTTACTATTTATTTTTTATTTCTTTCTCCTCAAACAGGAGTAGATTGGTTTGCCTATCACTCAGTTCACATTCAGGTCATTTGAACTGGAGTAGAGGTTTCTCTTGTTTCCTGTTTAGGATTGGGTTTCCAGTTCCTTCTAAAGTCTACTTGTTCTGTTTCACTCCCAGTAACTCCTTGCATCTTAGTAGCATTATCACCTTGCTTTGTATGAATTGATTAAAGAAAAGAAAATTTCTAGTGTAAAATTCAAATCTCTTAACTAGACAGCACATTCTATCAATTTGTCATTGTCTAAATGACTAGTGTTCAGCAATCAATGTCTCTCTATATTTCTGCCTTTTAATACTGCTCTTTATTTCTTGGTGTCTTCTTCATTAAATGCAGGCTTTTTTTTTTGCTTTTTTTTTTTTAACACCACCTATAACATACATTTACAAATCTTTATGCCTGCTCTTCAAAATCATTTATCTGAGCTTTGGATTGAGCCATATTAAATCTATTGTTTTATCTCTAGTTAAGTCGTTTACAGGAATATGTTAATTTTGAATAAAAACCAAAACAAACATTTTCTATATCAGATAGCCTATAATTTCATAGGTCATTAAATGTCAGAAATATATTTATACAATATGGTAGTTACTGATTCTATTTGTATGGAGCTGACAATACATAGGTAAAATACTTTGTTGAGATATAAAGTTTCTCCTTAGCTTGTTAGAGGCAATGTAAGTTATTAGGAAGTTGCAATAGAAACAAATGTTATCATTATTAGTTCCCCCCCCGCCATAAATGTATTTTAAGTGAATATTCACCACCTGAAGTTTTATAAATATAGTGTTTGTCTATTTAGCCTATGAAATGATTTATTGATGACAGTGTTTCAAATTAGGGGCTTAGTATCATTTTCTGATTTCAAAGTCCTGGGATTTAAGCTAATCTAAATCAAAACACTTGAAGAGGAAAAACGGGTTCACTTTTTTTTTTTTTTTTTTTTTTTTTTTTTTTTTTTCTCCATTACATTGATTTTAACATTTGTAAAATTGCAAAAACTTTTCTTCCTTTTTTTTTTTTTTTTTTCAAATTGTTGTTGACAGATGTGGATCTCGTACAATGTCTTAAGGACAAAAAATATTGTATGATTAGAAATTTATATTTTCTTTTTATAATAAAAATGAAATTTTAAAAAATAGTTTTGTTTCTTTAATACTTTTGTTCTTATTTTTCTGCTTCTTTTATTTTTCACTTTCAAAATTTGTAAAAATCCAAATTAGCTTACATTTCTCAAGGTTAATGTTAAATTAGATTTTGAGCAAATTGTTAATCTTGCTATGAGAGAAAGACAACTTGTGTAGCCCTCTACCCCCTTCTGTTGCTATCTCTGCTAACTTTGTTGTGCAACACTGACCTCATGGGTTATCCAGCTTTGTTTTCCCTCCTCAGTTGGGTCCGGTGTGTTGTCTTGGTAGGGTTTCCCAAAAATCTCATTATATTAGGGTTGACGCCATTGTGGACCACAGATAAAAAATGAGTAATTCTCAACTGCAGCCATGGTAAGTTTTGTCTTTGCATCTGGGATAATGGCAAGAATCAGTTGGAATAAATTCTTCAATAAAATGAATAACACTGTTGATAACCATAACAAGTATATTGAATATTAAAACTAGTGAATACTATGTCTCTACGTACTGAAGGATTAAGCTTTACCCCTCTGAATGGTGGCCTGAGAAATCTAGTAGTAATTGTTGAAACAATGACTGGCACTGTCACCTCTCACTCAGTTCTGTCCTATGTATCTTCACTCTATCCATGGCAGTGTTCTTGTGAGGTGACAGTGGGCCATGATGCAACCTGGAGCAAGTCTCTGACAATTCTCTTTTTGGGCCCCATAGATCTTTGTATAGATATCCCACTAATATTTGACATTCATATATATTTTCCACTTCCAAT